TAAATCAAATATTTCATCGACACATCTATTCTCACATGAAAATTCAATATTAATATCTATTGTATTATATTCAATTTGTGTTGCGTGATATAAAAAACTAAGGTTCATTTATTTATGAATTTTCTCAGTTATTGCAAAAGTTACATGAATGCAAATCTCATTATCAATACCTTGAAATATTGTATTATATATATTAGGTGGTGATATCAATGGCATTGATTCTTTCCATGCTATAAATTCTTTATTATTTTGTCATTCCTTAAGTATTCAAGTTAAACTTGCACAAAGATCATTTAATGATACATATCGTTCATCTAAATACTTTTTAATTATTCTATTAATACTTTTAACATGGCTTGTTGATTGCATTTCTGCTGTGAAATATGAGCTAGTATAACATCTCGCCTATGATTCTTTACTTTCATATAATCGTTTAAGATAACCTTTTACATTAGGATAATCTTCAATTAACTTTATATAATCATGCTCAAAATTTTCAATGCTAAGTTTATTATGATATTGAAAGAATTTTTTCGCAAATTCTTCATAATCATCATGTAATTTACTCTTCAAATTTTTGGGAATATTTTGATCAATATGCCATATGCAATGCAAATGTCTTGTTTGAGAATAAATTTGAGCAATAGCCACATCCATTGCAGGATCAGCATCTGTAATCATTACTGTCAGATAAATACCATATGCTTGTAATATAACCTTTAAACTCCATAAATATGATTCTAAAGTTTTATCATTTAAAAATGCCTGTGCAACTGGTCTTGTACTATAATTGTTATCAACAATCACAAATATTAAAAGTGATAAACCATATATATTCATTTTTGCAGTATTATTATGTGCAATTACTAAACCATATTGAATATATAATTCAACTTGTTGTGGTTCCATTCATAAAATATGTATAAGAGATCGTGATATTGAATCTAATTGATATTCTACAACCCATTCCAGATCATTAGCTTTTTTTCCAATAAAGAATTAAGAATGTTATATACATTCTTTTTTGTAGGTTCTTTTTGATATCAGAACTTATAAATTGCATTATAAAGGTCTCGTTTAATAATATGACATTGATATTTGCCTATAAGCATTCAGTATTATTTAGTTGCCTTAAGATTACCTTCAAGTGTTCAAAACTGTATATCAGCTAGCATATCTTCGGTTAACTTTCGAAATTGAGGTAATAAATTAACAGTTTGTGGATTAAGAGAGTGACCTTTATGCTTATCAATATATGTTGTTACTACATAAATTTCTTCACCTTTTTTACTGATATTGATTCGCTATGGGCAATTCAGTTTACATGAAGTTCTATTACGCTGTTCATTAAAAGGTACAGTTTTGTTTGGTTTATTTATGCCCACATGCTTACATAAAAAAGTTCTTTTTGCAACTTTCTCTGTAACATCATGTTTCATTAACCGTCTTTTCTGTATCCAAATCCTCTTTGCAAACAAAAATTATTGAGAAATATTGTGACTTCTTGTCATGATATAAATACCTTACTAACATAAAGGTCATCTGTTTTATTTTCAGTGGAATCTAACAAATCATCCTCATTTTCATAAGTGTCTTCATTTTCATCAATAGAAGGATATGATACAGAATCTTCTTTTATACAAATATTATTGGAATTCATTTTGTTATTCATGTACTTTGCAATTATCGTGAGAATTGAAAATTAAAAAAAGGCTATTATTTAATCAACAATAACATAAAAATGACATATTTTGCATGATTTTTATTTAACAGCAACTATCTTTTCATGTGACATTAGATCATATGATTATATATGTATAATGTGGCTAATTATAATAAACCAACCTTTTCTTATACTAATTCTAATTTCAACCTTAAGTTACCTAACCCTAATGCCTAACCCTAATGCCACGTCATAAGTTAAAGGATGAGTTTATAGTGTAATAAATTATTATATAACCATATGATACAGGTGTAAAAATGTGATTTAATCAAATATCATGTGGGATGCACTGAGTGCATGAATGCATCGTTTAAATTTTTCCTTATTTTAATTATGTAATTAAAATTTTTTAGTGGATTTAATACTATTTATTTTAAAGTTTATTAAATTAGATTATTATTATAATTAATATTTTTTATAATAATACTAACTTAAGTATTTATTTTTTATTTAAAACTTAGATATATAATTTGAATTATTTTAGTAAAATACTTTTATTAATCTATATAAAGTTATTTATTAAATTTAATACTATTTAATTTTAATTTTATAATTTTATATTAATATTTAATAAATAATTTTATTAAATTTTTAATAAGTTAATAAAATTAAATTAAGTTTTAAATTTAAAAAAAAAGAATATAAAGTTAAAAAAGTTTTATATTTTTAAGTTATATATTAATAAACATTATTTACTATAAAAAATTATAATTTATTTATATATTTATAATTTTTATATTTTTTTTATAAATTAATATACAGTACATAAATAATACTAAAGATGATTCCCATAATTATTTTTAAAATTTTTAACTAGTTGCAACTTAAGTTGCAACACTTTGAGTTGCAACTATTTATGAATTTTTATATTAAAATAAATTTACAAGGAGTTGCAACTAAGTTGCAACTCAAGTTGTAACTTCTTAATTATGGTGTCTATCTTTAAATAATACAATTCAAAAATTTATAAAAATAGAAATATAAATAGATAGTAATTTAAATTTATTGTATATCAACATTAAATTTAAAATTATATTTAATATTTTAATAAAATAAAAATCATTTTATTTGAACTAATATAAATTAATTAATAAAATTTTGGATTTTTTAATATAAAATATTATAGATTAAAATACAAATAAAAATAATAATAAAAAAATATATAATATATATAATTAATTTATTAATATATCAAATATATTTAATAATATAATGTTTACAATTATAAAAAAATACAAAAAAATATAATCTATTTATATTACAATTATTTGTAATTCATAAATTATTAAAATATAGTAAAACAAATAAATAATTAAATATTATTATAAAAAAATTAATATTTAGTGATTTAATAGTTCTAAAAGGATGTAATATTTAAATACTTTATAAGAGAAAAGGTGGAAATTCTAAAAAAAAAAATATTTTAAATTAATATTAAATCTGAACTTATTTTACTAAAAAAAAAATCTTATTTAGCTTATATAGTAAAATTTTAATTTTTTTCTAAAACTTCTATTTGTTTGTTTATGTAAACAAAAATATTAATTAATTAATTTTTTAAAAAATATAAATTTTTTTAAATTGGAGTATTCTTTTAATTAAGATGAAATTGCTTTTTATTTTAAAATAATAATAATTTAATATGTGTAAATAATTAAATCATTAACATTTAAAGAAAAGAAATGTTTTGCATTCAAAATCAATATGTTTTATTCAAAGATATTATACAGTATATACTGTATATATCTAATTTCTTTTATATATTTATTATATTTTTATATGATAAATTTTTTTTTTAAAAAAAAAAATATAAATACCTTTGAATCTTCTATCTATAATTTTTATTTAAACATTGTTAAAAATGTTCTTTATCAATACAATGATCCTAGTACACTTAATGTATAGTACAAACCGTTTAATGATATTTATTTTAAGGTTTAATTTTTTTTTATTGCCTGGGATTATGCGTATATTTTGTATAAATAAATTGTCTTTTAAATTTAAATTCACGTTTATTACACATAAGTGAAACTATAATTCATAACATTTACAACATTAAAAACTACATCATATTACTCGTCTTCAGCATTCTTTTAGATCACCACGTTCATGTAAATCATATATATACTCTCGAATGACGGTCAGTAAGTAATCTTGCCGCTCTTTTCAATCTAAAATAAAAAAAAAAAATTTTTTTTTCTATTTCATTAGTTTAATTCAATTTCATAATAATTTAATAATGATCATTTTAAATTTATAATTTACTGCTTCAAATTATTGTTACGTTCAATATTTTTTGTAAAACACGAATTTTATCAACCCAGAAGTCGTAATTGTATGAGCTCATTAACATTACCTCTATTGGAATTGAGAAGCCTAAGTTAATTCTTGGACAACCTGTAACTAAAAATTAAAAAAATGCAAATAAGCAAACGAAATAATCATATTATTTAAGGTTTATGACATACCTCTGATTTATCAACAAGAGCAACTTTCTACTTGAAATTAATTCATCCAATACAACTTCAACAATTCTTTTGAAATGTATGCACTCATTTAATTCCATCTTTTTCATATCTATTGGATCTTTAGTTTTTGCCAATAGAACAAAATTGATTGTTCTGCAAATAATCTATATATTAAATAAAAGAATTAATTATTTAATAAAAGTCTAATATATAAATTCATGGTAGATTGATAAACGCGCCACATAATACCATTTCGAATATTTTCTTGAATAAAAGAGAAGGACAGCACAGTTAATCTCAAATAAGATAATATTCACTTGATAAAATATTTGAATGCCAACCTATCAAAACTAACAGACAGGGTTGGGAATTTTGTATGTTATGTACTAGATAAATTTAACACTGTACTTGTACTGTACTTGTACTAATTTTTATATTAATTATTATCATGTACTAACTGTAATAATTGTATTAATCATTGTACTAACACTACTTCCCAACCCTGCATACGGTATGGATATAGTCCATTCAATTGCCAAACTTCACCATCAAAAGGAACAAAAGACAAACTACGACAGTATCTTCTCTCATATTTCCACTAGCTTCTTAACAACTAAGGCCTTCATGGTCTATCAAATTATTTAATATAATTAGGATCCATTATTCAAAGAAAAGAAATTGATTAACAAACCTCACCAATGAATTATAGCGGAACGAATGATTCGTAATGGTAAACCTTTTACCACAGGAGGTGAGGAATCCTTCGTGAATTCTTTGAGTACTCATCAATTTCCAATTGTGGGTTAAATTAACATCGCGAATCATATGAAAGATATAATCCATATATCTCGCTAAGTAAACCGGAAAATCAAAAAAAAAAAGGAAAAAAAATTAAAAAATATAAAAAAAAACTTCCAATATCTCGAAAGCAAATACCCTACCTAATTCCAGAAAACTGTCTAGATCAAGTACAAGCCTCGGTGGTCTGACACAAATATCGTACATTATTAACGCGCTGATATTGAAAAGTAATATTGGTTCAGACTGTAATCTAACCACCGGTCCATGAATGAATTCTTTGTTCGTGTAACAATAAATTGGACGTTTTTGAATTCAGGAAAGAAGTTTTAGATCGTTAAAATGTTTACAAAAACGGTAATATATTAATGGGAACTTCTTTATTTATTGCTAGTAGGTGGATTTTATCTTTCAAATATTTGAGTTGAATGATATTAATGATATGATACTTGATTATCTTTTATCTATTCTTAGTTATTGTGAAAAAAAAATCATTTTTACGGTTTTTGGTAACGATCCCCTACTATTTGTTAAACCCTGGACCCGGAATGGCATTGCATGCATCGATGTGTGACATATACTTTATAGGGGAATATAAAGGGACAACCGGTTATCAATCGTGCTGCTTTAAAAGTAAGTTACAGTTTTCGAAAGACTTTCGAATTTGATAATTTTCATAAGTTATAATAATTTTTAACAGTAGGATTAAAATGGATGATGTTTTAATAAGGAGAGGATGAAAATTACAAAATTTTTTGTGATGAATAAATTTGGTTTGTGGATATGAGATGAAATTTATTATTGTCAACAGTTTTTATTTGGTAAAATCATTCAAGGAGTTATCAAGAATGGCAAGAATGGCAAGAATAGAAAGAAGGTGAGGAAAAAGACAATTACAAGGAGAAATCTCATTCTTTAATTACTGTTAATGTCATTATTATTATTATTATTTTTTTGTCCATAAACAAATGAATTTACGTAATCTATTTCTTTTAGAATCCTTAAAGGTTTTACCAGCATCTTCTGCACCAGGGTGCATAAAATATTACAATGGATTGAATATTCCATATTACAGTTTTCTTTTCTTTTTGATTATCAGAAGGTGGTCTGATGTGGCTGGTATGCAATCATTCAGTTTTTGAAACGTTCAAAGATAACTTTGATCTTTTCAAAACAAAAACTTTCCATACATCCCCTTACATGACTAAACAAACAAATTCGGTATACAAATCCTTTCAAAAAAAAGCTTTGCCTTTCAAACTGCGAGGCGATCATCAATTACGCATGAGGCGTTTTGATGTGAAATTTGTTCACTCACTCTTTTCGTTTCATTTACCTTTCAAATTTTCCTCAATTAATCTTTTCTTGCAGATTGCAGTTACAATTAAAAAACTTTTAATTTGATCTACCCAAAAACGAAGGAAAAAAAACAAGTATTAAAACAGGAAAGTAGAAAATTTTAGAAAAATTATTCACATCTTCTCGTCTCAAAAGGAAATGATAGAAGATTCCCCTATTTTTCTTTCATTAATTACTCATTAGTCAAAAGTTCAAAGGATTTTTTTTTGGGGGGAGGTAAGCACGAACGATATGTCGAAAGTTTATAAAAGCAGTATTTCTTTTTTTATGCAAAAGATTTCATCAATTTATTTTTTAAAAAATTTAATTAAATAAATAAATAATAAATCCTATTATTAATTAAAAAAGATTGATTTTTAAATAACGAAACTAGCTCTTTTGAATTTCTTAAATAACATAACAAAGTTTGATTTCTCGAAAAATGAAATTCTTTTTCTCGGCATAATATATTTAAAATGTCCTCATTTCAAAATTATTTATACAACATTTATAAAGATATTGCAATTGCAGTTGTAAAAACAACATCCCATTGTCAAGTTTTATTATTTTCTCAATGCAATGCATCTAAAATTAATATATCTTTAAAATATATATTTAAAGCCCTGTACCAATACCTTGATTCTTTACGAGAAAATTGTTATCATCGTTCAATTTTCTTTTGTAGATTATCACAAAATTTTTCTACCACGGATAATTAATCCGTGGTTTTAGTACAATCTTTCTAGAATAATTTTTTATAACTCTACAACCTGTACCAATACCATGAGTGCAGCTAGAATATATATAAATATATTTAAATTTTCCTTTCGTAATTAGAACCACCTTTGTGATTTCATTTTTAGAAACTGATAATTTAGCGTCCCTTTTATATCAATTTCACCCGCTAATTACAGCTCTAGTGGCGATATTTAAATACCTTTTTTTTTTTGTATTTTAGTTCATAATTGCTTGCTTTTTTTACACAATTAAAACACATCAATAACATTTATAATATGTGAAATTTTAAAATTCAAAAAAAGAAGGTTTTTAAATTTCGCCAGTAGAGCTGAAATTAGAACATTTGCGTATCCATCACAAGAAATAAAAAAATTTTTTAATTGCGGAAACCTTAAAATTTTACAATGAACTTGTAAAAAATTAACACACAAATATATCCCGTGAATTTTTCTGCAAACGTTAAATACGATTTGGAAAGTGTTACAAATTCATTGATTGAAAAAAACTTGGTTATTGGCAAAAATACTTTCATGAATTACATACTTAACTTGATTGAAAGAGATAAAATAAAACTACTTCATGTTTCCAAGTGCCCCATTTGAACCTATTACGGCTTCATCATCCTTCCATGACGAAACGTCGAAAAAGAATTGCTTTTCCTGCTATACGACACAAAGTTAATTTCTTACTGCCATAATGCAGGCCAAAATTTCAATCATATTAAAAAAATCATCAACTCTTTAATTGGTTCATATTTATTTAATAATTGACATTCGATAATTTTTTTTATTTATATTATAACATTTTTAAACGTTTATTTAATATACATTTTTGTTTAATACATTAATCATAATTTTAAATTTTGTACGAAGATGACCATACAACTCCTATGACAAGACCAAAGAACATAAAGATAAAATGACTTACATCCACTGCAGCCAGAGCATTGCATGGTTAGGTAACCCAAGAGTGACCCTTCAGGAAGCGGTAGAAGCCAGGCCTAGGAAAGCGGTTTTCTTGACTCGTAAAGGAAGATACCTAGCAATTTTCTTCTCTAAAAAAAGCAGACCCTTACCGAAAAAAAACCACCTTCTCTCGAATAGGTTACCGTCGACCCCCTTCCCGTCGCGCCTCCTTGAAAGCCCAACAAAGTTGGCAAGTACCTCTCAAGTCGAACTCTAGCTGCTAAACCGTTCGTCCGTCACTTGGTCTATACCGGAAAAAAAATAATAATATAATAACAAAAAACAAATACTGTAAATATTATACCCGACTTTGTCCTTCTTCCATTTCGCCGCTGTTGTGTCTAATAAAATAGAGAATATTAAACGTTAATAAGGTTCAACACAAACTGTTTTTTTTTTGGCCTTGTCAATATGAGTTGAGTTGTCGCAAGAAAAAAAAAGAAGTCTAATTTTTATTTTTGGAACGTTTCCAATTATAAATCATTTATGGGAGAGGTATACTATTAAAACTCATGTTCATAACCTAATTTTAATAGCATATGACCCATATGATCTGTAATATGATTTTACTGCAACTTCCAAAATTTGCCGATCTTCAACAAGAATTATGAGCACTTTACGATACATATATCTAAGTTCGAGCCGTATGTCGTAATAATCACAACAGACAAAAGTGGAAGAAAGCCACTTCCGTCTCAGCGACGGCAAATTTATCTATTATATTGAAGCCAGTTATTAGGATGCTTATATGTCTTAGCGCCAAGAGCTACGTGTTCATTCGCTCTAATACTTTTGTAGCTTCAAGCACAAAGTGAAGCAAGCAGTAAATCGTTTTGAACAAGTGTTGAAACAGAAAAAATCGAATCAGTTATTGGGGGCTATCGGGTCGATTTAGGACCGATGATTGGATGAGAAAGTGCTACGTAATTACGTCGAATTATAAAAACAAAAAAAATCACAACTTTGATATAATTACAATAGATATCGAAGCTAACTATTATTGCAATTATGATTAAATATATTTTTTCTCTAGTGAAAGTGAATTTAGCAAGTTCAATTTTTATATGAACACGTGCATTTTCTTTAATTAATTTTTTAAAAAAAAAAAAGTTCGGTGCGATTATTTCCTTTATTTCCTTTCTACATTGTATCAATGCTATGCACTCTTCTTTGTATAGCTGTAGAAACAATTGATTTCTATCATGATATTTTAAGAAATGCAAAAAATTTTATGAGGTTCCGAGACCTTTTAACACGATTCAAGTAAAAGGTGAGATTTTATGATGCTTCTTCTTCGTCATCACCTTCTGGTCGTGGAGCCTTTTCAGCTATTATCATCATGATTCAAATTCATAAATTCATCTCGTCAAAATTTTATTGTTAAAAAAAATAAATAAATAAATAAATAAATAAAAATCAAAATTTTAAAAGTTACCTTTCTTGGATCTCTTTGGTAATAAATTTTGATGAATATTGGGCAAGACACCACCTTGAGCAATTGTAACGTGTCCAAGAATTCTTCATCGTTACGTATAGCCAATTGAAGATGGCGAGGAATGATCCTTGATTTCTTGTTATCACGTGCGGCATTACCAGCAAGCTCTAGTATTTCTGCTGTCAAATATTCAAGAATTGCGGCAAGGTAAACAGGTGCTCCAGAACCGACGCGAAGCACGTAATTTCCTTTTCGAAGATGACGATGAATACGTCCAATCGAAAATTGAAGACCAGCCTAAAAGGTTTATTGCAATGTAAACGAAGAATCAATATCTTAATAAATGTCGAAATAAAAAAATAAAAAAATAAATAAAATAATACTTGATGTACCTTTGAAGATCTGGAAACTTTCTTTGGGGCCGGTACATTCTTACCCATACCTTTCCCACCACCGTTTACAACTTCAGTTGATTTGTTTTTGCCCATACCTTTACCTTTAGTGCTAGCCACCTTTCTTTTCTTTTAGATTCTTTTTTTGGAAGGTTTAGTACAAAAGTTTGTTGAAAAGAACCTTTACTTTTTTTTTTTGAGGAAGAAATTAACGTGATAAGTCAGTAAAAAAGAATGAATATTTATATCTCAAATTTCCGCAGTAATAATGTATGAGTGATGTATATGAAAGTTTGTGTCTGAATAGCCGAAATTTTAAAGAATAAAATTAATTAAACGTGAGAACTTTTAATAATTAAGCACATAATTTCTTTTATTCGATTTATAAGCACATAAAATTACCGCACAATTCAAATATGGTCGAGACTAACAATTAATTGATTGGTATTTGATTATTTTTTATTAGAAATAAATTTAGAAATATCATCTTATCGCTACATTAAATTTTACCTTCCGAAACATTTTCACACACGTGAATTTCACAGTTTTTCATTTTTACGGACCCAATAAAATATTATCATTTTTTTTTTTCACCTTTTCAGAAGTAAATAATTATTCCTTAAATAGTTTACTTATAAAAAGTATTGGTTAAAAAATCTCAAATTGAAAATTTCGTTAGGAAGTTCGCTATAATATATTTATTAACATTATATAAAGACATTCAGAATAAATTAAATCATGTTACTATTAAAATTGTAAAATTTCAAGATTATCATTTGCTGCTGCTTCGTATATAGCTCCTTCTAAGTTCTTTTCTATTCCTTCAAATTTTTCGTATAAATTACCAAGGTTAATTTGAGCTTCAATACATCCATTTTCTGATGCTTTATTATACCAATAAATGGCTTTTTCTAAATTTTTTTCTATTCTTTCGTTTTTTTCGTATAAAATTCCAAGATTGGTTTGTGCAATTTCATTTTCATTCTCTGCTGCTCTCGTATACCAGTAAATAGCCATTTTTAAATTTTCTTCTACTCCTTCACCTCTTTCATACGAAATCCCCAAATTATTTTGAGCTTCGCTAAATCCGTTCCGTGCGGCTTGATCGTACCATTTAATAGCTTTTTCTAAATCATTATTTGATTTATAATATTGACCAAGGTTATATTGAGCTTCAATTATTCCATTTTCTGCGGCTTTATTATACATAGAAATGGCTTTTTTTAAATCCTTTTCTGTTCCTATACCTTTTTCATATAAATAAGCAAGATTATTTTGAGATTTATGATTCCCATTTTCTGCTGCCTTCTCATACCAGCGAAACGCCTCTTTTATATTTCTTTCTACCCCTTCGCCGGTTTCATATAAGATCGCGAGATTATTTTGAGCCATCGTATTTCCCTCTTCAGCAACAATTGTATATAAATCAATTGCTTTTGCTTTATTAATATCAATTCCAATTCCTTTATCATAACAGTATCCAAGCCGAAATTTCCCATCTATATAACCTTGTCTGGCTGATTTATTAAATAATTCAAAAGCCATTATTTCATTTTTTCTTACTCCTTTCCCATCTCTATAACATAAACCCAAATTATGCTGTGCAACTTTATATCCATTTTTTGCTGCTTTTTGAAAGTAATAAAAAGCCTTTTCGTAACTTGCATTTATTAAAATTTTCCCAATATAATACAATCCTAATCCTTTAAATCTATTAACCACTTCATTTTCTTCCAATATGTCTTTATCATAATTCTTTTTAAGAAAATATTTCGCAACAATATCTCCATTCATTGCTGCTTTTGTATACCAGTCATATGCTTGTTCTTTATTTATTTTAGTTCCAATTCCATAGTAAAAAAAATTAGCAAGTTGTAATTGTGCATCTACGATTTTATTTTTGGCCAAATCTTCATAATACTCAAATGCTTTACTTTCATCCTTCTCAACTCCCTTTCCTAATCTGTAACATTCTGCAAGATAAAATTTTGCAATTACATTTTTACAATTTGCTGCCTTTTCATACCAAAAAATCGATTTCTGCTTATCTTTTTTAGTTCCAATACCATATTCATAGCATTGTCCTAAATAAAATTTCCCAATAGTACTTCCATTCTCTACAGATTTTTCGTAGTATACAAAAGCTCGCCTTTTATTACATTCGGTTCCATATCCATCATTATAACATTTAGCAAGATAAACTTGAGCCATGGAATAATTTTCTTTTGATGCTTCTAAAAAAATTTCAAATGATTTGGTACCATTCTCTTCTTTATTAATATTATTAATATTATAATAATATAATAAACCAAGTAACCAAATATATTGTGCTGCTTTAGATTGGTTTCGTATAAGCCAATCTATGAGCTTATTTTGATAAAATTGGGGTACTTGTTGATTGATGATTTGTTTAACCTGATCAAATGAGATTCCCTTATTGTGCTTTTTAATTATATCAGCAATTAATTTATCAGCAATTTTATTGTAGATATGATCCCACAGTGATTCGAAGGAATTTCTAGTAGATAAATTTTGGGTGGAACTTGATGAATTGTTTTCACAATTTATGGAATTTCTATCGATATTTTTAAATCGAGTAAGATTTGATATATTTTCCAATAATAACTCTTTGATACTTATGACGATGTCGCTCGAACTTGAAGTAAAGACACATGGATTATTTCCCTTTTCTTCATTGACGTTATTCATGTTCATACCGCTTTCAGGACTAAATATTTGCTTAAGGGTTAAAACAACTGTTTGCATGTCTGGACGTTTATTAGGTTCATATTCCCAACATCCTTTAAGATAAACAGAAATAATAAAATTAACGTTTCATATAATGTAATGAATTAAAATATATTAAGTATATAATTTACCTTCATATAATTTACTATATTTGATAGGAGTGTCATCAATTACCTTTTCCCTTTTTCCATTTATTATGGCTAAAGATAAACATGCATCATAATTAATGTTCTCTCTACGAAATGGTTTATATCCACTTGAAATTTGCCATAACAAAACTCCAACACTATAAACATCAGATTTCTCATTTAATTTATAATTTTCACAAAAACATTTTGGATCCATATACGGTATTACACCAAATACTTTTGATGCTTTACTTGATTTTTTGTCAAGTTTTTTTGATAAGCCAAAGTCTGCCAATTTAATGTTCTTTTGATGCACAAGTATGTTGTCAGCATGCTTTGAAATAAATAAATAAATAAATAAAATTAATCGTTGATAATAGATGATCAAAATTACAACTTATAATATATTACCAGATCACGATGAATAATGCCACATTCATGTATGAATGCCACAGCACTTGCCAATTGTAATGCTAATCGATGTTTATCGTTCCATGAAAGAACATTGGCCAAAAAAGTAGTCAGTGTTCCACCATCAGCATACTCCATAACTAAAGAATATTTATTTTGATGGTCATCTATTTTTAATTATATAAAATCATTAAAGGAAATTATGGTTTATTGTTAAAACTTAAAATATTATATACTATGCTTTACCGCTTTCTTCCTTTGTTATTCCATAAAATTGTATAATGTTTTCATGAATATTAACGCTCTGATGTAATTTTATCTACGATACAACACAACGAAGCGAGTTGGTTTAAATTACAAAAATTAAACCTTTTCAAAACGGTCATAAATATCATACCTCATCAAGAACTTCTTCAAGGGTGACTTTATCATGATTGAATGATTTCAGAGCAAGAACGCAATTCGTATTTTTCCAATTCGCACGCTTAACTTTTCCAAAATAACCTTCTCCAACTGGTTCTATATTACTGAATTGTGAATGTACAAAATGATGGATCTTTTCTAAATCTTTAATGATTTTGGCGTCAAATTTAGACATTTTTAAATAATTACATATTTTTTTTTTTTTTGGTTTTTATATATAAAATCGGAAAATTGAATAAGGTAGATTAGCAATTTAATTTAAAATTCAAATATGTAAATCGAACTCCGGGTACTCCGGGTAAGGTTTTTCCGAGAAAAATAAAGAAATTATGGCGCAAAAAAATGTTAATTATACGATTCCAAACAAAAAAAAAGGACCAAACAAATATTATTTATAGATTCTAATTTTAGATGTTTCTAAAATGACAAATTTTTTAATGATATTGCACTGCCGGTAATTGTTGCAACTGCTTTAGTAGTAATTATTTTCCAATATTTTGTCTTTAATCCATATGCTATAAATAAATAAATATTATTATTATTATTTTAAATTATTATATAAAATATACTAACCACATGTAAAAAATATGCTAATATATAAATATTTGGATCAAAATTTTCCCAATATTTTTTAAATGTATTAATACTATGTTGAAATTCTAGTAGGTAATTTTTTAACAATCTGCAAGATTTGCATTTGCATTTTCAAGAAAAATTATTGCTGTTTTAACTGGTTTTAAAACTTGAACTAATTCGTCAACATTTAAACTTTTAATATATTTTTTGACAGAATTATTTTTAATTTCATTAACATCATTTAATAATACCTATAATTATTAATTATTTTTGTTAATAAATAAAATTAATTGTAAATTTTATTAACAAAAATTTTATATATTTACATATTTTAAAGCAATCAAAAATTTGAAATTGAAGCAGCAGCCTTATATACATAGATATTTACCTAGTTTCATAATATGTTTTAAGTCAACCTTAAATATTTAATATAGTTACCACATTAGCTAATAAACTTCTTCCAAAATATGATTTTTTAAAATATATTAATGTTATTACAACTTTTAATAGTTTGTTTGGCAAAATTATTTCCTAAAAATATTATATAGAATAAATAAAAGTTACAAGATAATTTATAATATTATTTAATATATCCATTATATTTTATAGAAACTCAAAAAATTCTAATGATATTGATTTGATATTGTTATATGAGTCTACCGACTGAAAAATAGACTTCAACATATATAGCAAGGTATTAGGTACCTAAAGGATAATGATTTAACTTAATAAATTTAAGAACTTATTTGTGTTAATAAAATTATTGAATTAACAATATATCAATTTATAAGTACAGGAAATGTTAAGAATATATAAATATAAATTGGAAATATGTATGAATATTTCAAATATGATGGAAAAGCAATAATGATGGATTGGATCTTAGGTCACAAGTTTAACAGATTAATGTTATAGGGATAATGTTTGGTTTATTAATAAAATATAAGTGGATCAATACGATTCAATAAACTAAATAAGCTCTTGTTGACGAACTTATCAATTTATGAATTCAGACCTGATATTTGAACCTAATGATCTAATGAAAAATATATGTCAAATTGGTCATTTTGATATCTGGTACTAATTAAATGATCTATCTATCCTTTCTTCAAATTGATATTTTAAGGAATTCTGTAGAAAAGCTATGAGAAAGGAAATTTAGTAATAAAAGAGTATCATTTTTCTTAAGGATGTTAAACAGTCCCAAAAGTTTGTGAACAAATTAAGAAATATGAGTAATAGAAAAGTTTATCTTTAATAAGTAACTCTTAATAAAAAATTGTTATAATTAATTTTATGAATTTTGAAATTGACAATTTTCATGAGACTGCTAAGGTGGGATTCAATCCTTAGGATTGGGTCCTAAGTTTCAAAAATTAAGATTCTGGATTTCCGCATAAGTTTAATATATAATTTTAATAAATATTCAATTAATATATTGTCTTTAGAAAGTAAAATATACCACTAGCAAAATAAAATTCTTCTCTAAAACTGGCAAATTTATTGGAACTTTTAGGATTGTTTAGAACTGTTTAATATCCCTAATTTTTCTCATAGTTCTCAATAGGCTGGTTGAGGCAGTAATAGTTGATTTTATTATATTTTCTTATCATTTATTAATAAACTTTTTCTTTTTCATCCTTTATATAAATTTAATTTGTTAATTTAAATTGATTGATATCCGTCCATTTTTCATTTCGTATATTTGTTAATTGTTTTTAATAAACAAATAAATTATGTCTGATTTTGCAAAATATCTTTAATTATTAATTCAGAGCTAGTTAAACATTTAAGAAATCATATAAAATTTGACATTTATATTATTTTGAAATATACTGTATACACTTTACACTTTTCATTATAACTCACTATTTTTTTGTTGATATTCATTTAAGAAATTTTAGAAATCTGATTAAGTTTAATTAGGAATACCTTTATTAAAATGGTTGAGTTTACTTACTTACCTATTATGTAAGAAATAGTGGATTACTTACTATTCTGATTATAATAATTGTGTTGAATACTTGAACCACTTATTATGTAAACTTTAAAAAAGGTCAAACTTACCATTAAAGACTATACTTTATTTGAATTGTAAGAACTTATCATGTTAAGTTAAATAGAAAATAGAGTTAATTAAACATATTAGGTGGTCTACATGCTTATATTATAATATTCAAAGTGATTTACAGTGACATTCAAAAGATTTGCATCACTTAAATAAAAATGTTACAATAAAAATAATTTTTAATATAACGCCTGAAAACTTATGTAAAAAGGCTTATTTTATTCATAAAATCTAGCAAAATACATAATAAAACTTTATTTTATAATTTATAAAAAAAATTGACCAAAAAGTAAAAATTTACATCAATCTATATGATTGATGTATTACTTATAATCGTTTGTAACTATATAAATAAAAACAAAATCATCAAATAACTAATGATTTAAAATTTAAAAAACTTTTCAACTTATTCTTCACCATCTTGTATATCCTTTAGCTTTAATTACATCATTAATTTGTTTAGGCATACTTTAGATTAATTTGGTTAAAAATTCATCATCCATTTCAACCCATATTTTTTGAATAGCTTCCCAAAGTTGATCCTGATTATGAACCTGATGCTCCAATTTTCTCAAACGTCTATTTATTTCATTCCAAAAATGCTCAATAGGGTTGAGGTTAAGTGATTGTAACAGCTACTCCAATACATTAATATTATTGTCATCAAACCATTGTTTTGTTAGATTAGCTGTATGCTTTGGATCATTATTCTGTTGAAAAATAATATTATCTTTATCAAGCCCATGTCATTGAATTATTTCCAAATGTTTCTCATTTAATATCTATCGATACAATTCTCCATTTATGTTTCCATAAATACGTATTATATTACCAACCCCAAAAGAGGAAAAACACCTCTATACCATAATATTACCACCTCCAAATTTTACTGTAGATTTAACAAGTTGATCCTGAAGCTGCTCTTTTGGCTGTTTCCAATAATACTGACGTCATATAGGCACCCTTGGGGGTTCTGGTGCAGATTGCCAAATAGACCTCCAAACCCCGCCTACGAATCAAATTTGCTATATGATTTCCAAT